CCGTAGCCCATGCGAAATTGTTGAGGACTTTTTGACTATAATTCGATGGTGATGGAATATAGTCAGAAGAATCATATTTTTCTCTCAGTGGAGACGTGTTTGGTGGGTTATCCATTTTCTTAGTATTTATTCAAGTTATGGATTTATTGAGAGGGTCGAAGGGGTGATTGATGTCAAATTAATTCAAAGATAGTCTCTTTGCAAGATCAGAAGGGCGCAAAAGCTTGAATGTTATNAGAACTAAAATAAAATAGTTGCAATGACTACATTCCATTGTAGTATTCACTTCTCCGGCCATAGTTACCGTAACCCATGCAAAATTGTTGAGGACTTTTTGACTATCGTTCGATGGTGATTGAATATAGTCAGACGAATCATATTTTTCTCTCAGTGCATGTGTAGTCACAAAAAAATATATTTTGACTGACCTAAGCCCATCCAAAATGGCGGGGAATTTCAAAAAACCGAATAAACCGATCTTGCCCTTTAAAAGTGGAGAAAGTGAGTAGAAATGATCGGATTGTCTTGAAATTTATTCCCAATGTTCAGAACACTAGAATCAATAAAGCTACGGACGTAAATTCGAATGCAATAATTTTTATATTTTAGATCAGCCAAAAATAGAAAAAAACACAAAATACGAAATAATTGAATTAGCCAATTTGCTTCTGGGACCAGTTCTCTTAGTTTTTTAGCTTGTATCTTCGAATATCTTAGAAACTATAGTATATGATCTCGCAGAATTCTAAATTGAAATCGATTAGTTAACAAATTCGATTTTTTCGTATTTTATGATTTTGTCGATTTTCAGCCGATCTAAAATCTAAAAATCATCGGATTCAAATTTCCGTCCGTAGCCCTGTTGATTCTCGTGTTCTGAACATTGTATATAAATTTCAAGACAATTCGATCATTTCTACTCACTTTCTCCACTTTTAAAGAGCAAAATCGGTTTTTTCGGTTTTTTGAAATTCCCCGCCATTTTGGATGGGCTTAGGTGAATCAAAATAAATTTTTTTCTGTGACTACACATGGGAAAGAAATCTCACGGAGGCCAATTTTTTATTGCAGGACTTTCAAATTTCAGCAGTGTCCCCCCTTAAGAAAGAGGGCCCCACCACCGATCCGATGGTCAAGTTTTCAGAAAAATTGGTGGTGGGGCCCTCTTTCTTAACATTTACCGATATATATTCATTGATAGGGCTTCTAGACACTTCAAAATGAGATGTCAAATTTTTTTCCAAATTTTCTGAGGCTTTACTGCAGTGTAATTAAAAAAATTGGAAAAAGTGTGCGGTGCAACGCTTATAGCACCTTTCCTATCAATGTATTTAATTTGCGTCAACCGCTACCACCACATGATTCAGTTCATGCGACATTTTTGGCTTTACGGCTGTATAAAATCCAAGTGCTCTGCTCGTGTGGATTCCAGGGAAAATACCTGTGACCTCAGATGTTTCGCAATTTCTTTTGTGTTCGTCCGAGAAGAGAAATCGGCAACGAACTTCACATTAAAATTATTCAAACGAACCCACTGCGGACCCCCCTGTCGCCTCCCGTTGTCAACAGCAAGAAAAAAGTGACGCCTATTTCCGCAAATGACACCCTTTACGTGATACAAGAGCACCAGATTCCACGCAAGGACGATTACACACATTCAACCGCGGTTGAATATTTGTAATCGTCCTTGCATGGAATCTCGCTCTCTACACGTATTCCCACAATTTTCCAGTTCTATTTATATTCCTAAACCGCCCAAGTAGATTCCTACATCTGACAAGCCGGCGACACTTTTCCAGTAACAGGCATTTAACCACAACAAACGAATGTTGTCTTTTTCACTGATATTTAAATTACTAGTCGTGAGAGGATAAACGATGTTTCGTGTCTCCACACTATTGCCGCAGTGAAACTCGCGAGCTTCGATTATTAAATGCCTCAGGGTCGCATCCTCAGGCTCATCCCTCGCCACATGATTCTCAATTTATTTTTCATAATTATTGAAGTTCTTGTAGCAACTAAAATTAAGAGAAAAAAAACTCAGTATCTATTCGGTGCACGCATAACTAAACTAGCCTGTGATGTTGTCAATCAGCGAGAGACCGAATGATAATGCATGTTTGTCGAGTAAATCGAGACGAGGAGATGTGGACTATAATTACACATGCAATTCAAGTTGAAAAATGACAGAAAAATTGGTGAACCTCCAGTGAGGTTCGTTGGACGGAGAATTACGTCGTCATCGTGAAGCACTTTGCATCAAGATCATAATCAATTGACGGTTATGTCCCCGAGATTGGCACATCTGGTTCTTTAACGCCTATGCCAACACTTCTCTAGGGATCGACATACTGAGCACCCAAGGCCGCTAACTTGAAGAGACCGCACCGTGTTTTTTTGTTTGCTCTCTTTTCTTTTGTTGAAGGCCCGCACGAAAGTCTTCAATTTAGGTGTCATCATCTGACTTTTAAATGACTATTATGAGATATTCCGACATACGCGTATACAACACGCTAGGCAAATTAGTCAAATTCCTATACAATTTAATCGATGTGACATTTTGATGGCTTTGAGTTGGAGTAAGCCGAGGGAGAACAAGAAATAAAAAAAGAAATAATTCTGGGTTTTAGTCTCATTCAGGCGATCACAGGTCAATTAATTATCCCATATCAGCGGTAGTAATACCACGAAATCCTCGAAAATTATCAGAATATTTCTTGATAATTCCGTTGCAGAGCCGCGATAAATGTCAACAGAGTCGCCGCAAAGTTTGATAATTCTGAAGGTCGAGAGGTATAGGGAAATGGAAACTTCCACAAAGAAAAAAAAATCTGGTTTCCAGTCACAATGTGGGGATTTCAGAACTCTGGGGTAAAAATTCCTGGATTTCATTGAAATTTTCACTTGTTCTTGGAAATTTTTTTCCGAGAATCCGAAAGTTCTGGATCTCAGTAATTTCTGCTAAAATCTAGTACCCATGCTACTTTAATCAAGGTGTACTTTCTATTATTTCAAAGTACTTTGGTTCTGGAATTCAGTAGTAGGGGTTCTTAAAATAAGAACGTGGAGTTTCTTAGATTGACATCTTTGTCTACTTCAATTATCTTCATTAATTACGGTGTGACAGCACCACCTAGGAAAGCTCCTCCCCTTTCTGCCACGAATCGTCGTAAATTATAGAATACCCTCCACTCCTTAATCGCGTGACGTGATGTTTCAACCCAGGGGTCTTGATTTTATTACCCAACAGTTCTGGATTTAAGGACTTTTTCAACTGAAATTGAGTATAAAGAAAGATGTTATTTTCGACTGGTATACCCCACCTGGGTTCGAATCCGGGTGCCTCCGATATTTTTAATTTTTTAAATATTTTTTGACAGTGATGTTACGTTCAGCGAGTGGCCCAACTGTGCCTTTTTTGCTGACAAGTAAACGAAAAGACTTTTCGTTTAGTTTTTGTTTATGAGTAAACGAAAAGGCACTTTTCGGCACGAGGTGAACGTAGCAGCAATGCACGGAGAGAAATTTTTTAGAAAAATTCTAGTGCTAGTACGGGAAAAAAGGCGGAAATAGACGGTCAGGAAAAAATTCCAGTGCCGGCGCTAGAAACTTTATTGGGGAAAACGTGAGTTTTTCCCCGTATTTCTGTGAAAATTTCACAGAAATATCAAGAAATTTTGCCTTAACAGCACTAGAATTTTTTGACAGCCGGCGGATTGTAATTTTTTCCAGTACTCCACGTATGAAAAAATCGTATAGAAAGTTTCTATACGATTTGCGAATAGAATTTCTATAGGTTTTTCGTATATGATATTCGGATATTTCTATACAAAAATTCCCTATACGGATTATTTCTATACGAATTCGTGTAGAAATTCGTATAGAAATGAACCGTATAGGAAATTTTCGTATAGAAATATCCGAATATCATATACGAAAAACCTATAGAAATGCTATACACAGTCCGTATAGAAAGATTCTATACGATTTTTTCCTACGTGTCGTACTAGAATTTTTCTAGAACATTTCTCTCCGTGTGTCAAAATAGCTATTTTCACACACCTGCGCGCAAAGTTCGTACTGTGCTCTCTGATAAACGGGAGGAAAGTGAGTATCTTCCGCACAAGGACGGAAATTCGGTACTTTTCCCTCAGGAACAAAAAGACGACGAGGAATGACTGGCTCGGGGGGAGTCCCTCCCGAGAGAGGGAAGTTATCAGTAGTTTCCGTCCGAGGGAGCAACTTTCCACCCTTGAGTGGAAAGTATTCACTTTCCTCCCGCTCATCAGAAAGCAAAATACAAACTTTTCTTTACAGGAGTATTAAAAAGTGTTTTTCTGACCCGTCGGAGGTATATAGCGCTCACTGAAAGCGAGTGCCCCTCTCCCAAAGGTCAAAGAACACTTTTCCCACGAGTGTCGAACCCTATTTTTTATCACAAGTGATAAAATAGTCAGATTTCCTTCCTATCCCACTTCGCGGGTCTGAATGTCCACTCTGCACCCGCCCTGGCGAAAACTTTTTTTTCAAAGGGAAAAGACAGACCACGGGAGGGTGGGGCAAAGTCGAAAGTTCTGTGGTCTTCTCTAATTACCAATATCGTTGTTTATGAATGAAGATGGGATTCGGAGAAGATAACAAAAAGTTCAACGTGGCCCTGCCTTCCCCTACACATTAGTTATAACATTTTTTGTGTCTGAATTTTGGCCGAGGGGAGTGCAGGGCCTTTTTCAACTACATTTTGAGAATCAAAATCATTGCTAAAGCAATGTTCAACACTGAATAGCCTGTTTGTTCACAAAATTGCTCGATGTACACAATTGGTTTGTCATTGTACCACCCAAATTTGTTTGTTTATTTTCTCCATTATCATATCATCATGCTTCCAAGACCAATCATTTTAATTTCAAAAGAGCTCCCCGCAACGATGACGATATATCTCGTATCTTTATCGACCGGCGTTAGGCGTTCCTTGCCAGTTGCTCTTACGGAGTTATCTGAACTCGTTGTCCCTGATATTCGGCTCTCGGAGTCGGTTATTCTTAAATAAACAGCCTGAAATCGGAAGAATTGACGAAAAATATCTCCATATCCCCATTTGACCACCTAGTGGATCCCATTGTGACCTTATTTTCGTTTCGCATACATGCGAGAGTGTCACGGATGCTCTATTTATAACCGTACATTCGTATAGTTTGAAGGCGCGCGCGCGCCGTTGGTGCCTGGTGTATTTTCACTATTATTCCTGGTTGTTCCATCGTACCCTCAGAAATATGGCGAGCATGAGTATCCTCGCTGCAAGAATCTCTCGTTTATTAAGGAAAACGTGCAACTTGTCAACCATTGAATCATTGAAGAATCAACAAAATGCGGGAAAGATTATCAAAACTGGGGCAGGAGTCCTTGCTGTTGGATCAGCTGTGTTTTACATCGGACGTAAATATAACAGTGGGAACGTCGTCCACGCAGCACGACCGCGCAAAGTGAGTACAGTCCAGCAGGAAAGCTGGATTATGTTTTGCTATTTTATCACTAGCGAAAATAAATTGATCCTGGATGTTTGTGGCATAAAGTTTAGGGAAGAATAGTTCATTTGTTGATTCTAACCGTCTTCGGGAATTTGTTATCGTTCAGCGTTTATGATAGGGTTCGACAACCTCGCTCGACTCGTGATTTCAAATTATTTTCCAACGAGTGCGTTCCACATGCAGAGAAACTGACGTTTATGTTATGTCACGATTCACTTAGCAGGACCCATTTAGTTTAATTTGATCCATTGAATGAATTGATACATCTGAGAATTTTCTCGTCTAGAAAAAAAATGAAATTTCATGGACATTTTACTACTAATTTTCAGAGCAGTGACACTGACTGCGAGTTCGGGGAAAAAATCATGAAATTTCAGATTTCATTGAAAATTCTGTAAAATTCCAGAATTTGAAGCAGCGTAAACACGAGAATTCCTTAATTTATTGGAATTTCCAATCTAATGTGAATATTCAGTGTCAAATTACATTGAATTGTCAGTGAAATCTGAAATTTCATGATTTTTGTCTCCGAATAGAAACCTTGTATTTGAGCGATTTTTCGATTCTCTAATGTTGATGGTAAATGGTCTAAAATGTTATGAAACGTAAAGAAATAATGTTTCTAGGGTCATGTCTGTATGTATATGTGACAACTTGGGTCTTTAATGATCAGACAGTTTGAGGTCCGTCAAAGGATCGAAAATTAATAAATGACTTAAATACGCCAACGATGGGTTCTATACCTGAAAAAAATGTATGAATTATGGGAAAACAATTATTTGAAGTAGAAACAACGAAGGAATAAATGATAAAATGACGGAAAAATGGGATACAGCCCAAACGATTCCCGTTTTCATTGATTTTTTTCATCAAATTATGAATTTTCAATGACGAAATTCCTTGGCATTCCAGCAGAGGTGTCATTTGACCAAAAATTTCGAGAAGTATACCCGACATTTCATTCAAAAATTTTCAACAGTGTATGCAGAGTCGTTCCATTTTCATTTCAATCCTTAGTGGAATTTTTCCGCTACAAAATGATTATTACATCAACCATGTTACGTTCTATATGAAAGATTGTGTGCTTTATCGTGATGTCCGGAAATAATACAGTAGAGGCTACGTATAAGATACCTCTCTATACGATACCCCGTGCTTTGAGCGCTCGAGACCTACCCCCACTCTCGGCACTTTTATCGCCTCCCGAATGTTTATGTTCCGTGGTCTTCTTATAAAATACCTATGGCCCCGTCCAGTTTCAACGGGAAGAGAGTAGTTACAAGGATCAAACGGTGTTAAGGGTCAAACGGGAGGGACAAACGAAGTGGTCATGAGGGTCTAATGACCTTAAGGGGGGTCACACCACTTTTTTCAAGTAATGAAAATATACATCGATTTTTTTTTATTTTTCCCATCGAAAAATCGTAATTTTTCGTCTGTGATTATTTTCTACTTCACCAACAATCCCCCAACATCAGCTGCCATTCTATCACGAGGGGTTATATTTAGAGAGAAAAGGGAACGCGGGCGATACAAATTCAAAACATTCAACATATATGAATTGATTAGTTATCGATATTCATTTAGTAAAAATGAAAATTTCGTTAAATTCGAGCGCATCGAGCGAGGTTTCTTATTTGAAACCCGCGGATCCCTATTTTTCTCCTCTCCAGGGGCGCGCGTGGTGGGGGCATAGGGGTTCCCGGCATTCCACTGTCCCTAAGGTATCTTATACAAAGCCTCTACTGTACTACGAAGGACACAGGTCAACGTGTCATGACTCCCCAGCCCTCTTTTTTCGATTTTCGTGTTCTCTCTTCTTTTCTGAATGGATCTAGTGTCTTGTATTGTCTTACAAGATCGTAAAATTCAGACACTGATGTGAAACTACCTCAAAGTACATTGTTGTCGAGGGGCCCATAATCTAGGAAATTTTACGACTATTACTCAAGAAAGCCCCGGGGAAATATTTACTCGTATTGTTTCCATTTCTGGTTTCTTTTAATGTCACCGAAATTGTTGACGCAGTATTGCGGTATAACCCTTCCATTCCAGCCCCCTGCATGCAACTAAAGTGCGTTGGACCGCCGACAGAAGGAAGTCGTTAATTAGCTACGGTGAGGGTCTTAGTTTAGAGAGAGTGGTTGTAAAAAATGATTTCTTATCGGTTTTTTGGAATATGTGACTCTGACGAGTTTGTAAATACTAAAAGTCATTTTGTCAGTGTTTCAAAGTTGTTTATAGCATGTNTATAAAATACCTATGGCCCCGTCCAGTTTCAACGGGAAGAGAGTAGTTACAAGGATCAAACGGTGTTAAGGGTCAAACGGGAGGGACAAACGAAGTGGTCATGAGGGTCTAATGACCTTAAGGGGGGTCACACCACTTTTTTCAAGTAATGAAAATATACATCGATTTTTTTTTATTTTTCCCATCGAAAAATCGTAATTTTTCGTCTGTGATTATTTTCTACTTCACCAACAATCCCCCAACATCAGCTGCCATTCTATCACGAGGGGTTATATTTAGAGAGAAAAGGGAACGCGGGCGATACAAATTCAAAACATTCAACATATATGAATTGATTAGTTATCGATATTCATTTAGTAAAAATGAAAATTTCGTTAAATTCGAGCGCATCGAGCGAGGTTTCTTATTTGAAACCCGCGGATCCCTATTTTTCTCCTCTCCAGGGGCGCGCGTGGTGGGGGCATAGGGGTTCCCGGCATTCCACTGTCCCTAAGGTATCTTATACAAAGCCTCTACTGTACTACGAAGGACACAGGTCAACGTGTCATGACTCCCCAGCCCTCTTTTTTCGATTTTCGTGTTCTCTCTTCTTTTCTGAATGGATCTAGTGTCTTGTATTGTCTTACAAGATCGTAAAATTCAGACACTGATGTGAAACTACCTCAAAGTACATTGTTGTCGAGGGGCCCATAATCTAGGAAATTTTACGACTATTACTCAAGAAAGCCCCGGGGAAATATTTACTCGTATTGTTTCCATTTCTGGTTTCTTTTAATGTCACCGAAATTGTTGACGCAGTATTGCGGTATAACCCTTCCATTCCAGCCCCCTGCATGCAACTAAAGTGCGTTGGACCGCCGACAGAAGGAAGTCGTTAATTAGCTACGGTGAGGGTCTTAGTTTAGAGAGAGTGGTTGTAAAAAATGATTTCTTATCGGTTTTTTGGAATATGTGACTCTGACGAGTTTGTAAATACTAAAAGTCATTTTGTCAGTGTTTCAAAGTTGTTTATAGCATGTAGTTAAAACAGTCTTCTCATACTTCAGGAAGACATGACGAAATTTTGATTGTCTAGTTTGGATTGAGTATCTTGAACGGAAGTACAGAACTATAAATTCTTGACACAGTATTCTGTCATCCCTGTGGGGACCCCCTGAAGCGAACGCTCGTGGATTTTTTTCCCAGGCTTCCAAGTGTCTTTTTATTCTACAGCTTATTCAACGAAAATAAAAAATTTATTGGAGATATTTTGGATATGCGAGAATGGGAATTTAATCAGTGAGAAATTTTTGAGAACTGTGTTATGAAGTGTTGGTGAAATCTTTGAATATTTTCAAATAATTGACTGTCACTTTGATAAAATACCTAAGTCTTCACAGAAATTTATGTCGTCAATCAATTAATCAATTTCAATACATTTTAGATTCCTAGAAACAAAATCATTTGAGTCACTGATGAAGAAGTTGTAGAGGGCAGGAAACGTGTTCAATATAATCGGCTTATGGAGTTGTATTTTCAAAATGAAGAGGTCTAGCAGAACTCATTAAAGAGATTCTACAATGAACGCAACGCGGTTTGACGCAACGCGTGCAATTGTTCAAAACAATCGTTTAACTGCATTTTGATTGTTTTGACAATTGCAAGCCTTGCGTCAAGCCTGCGCTGCGTTCATTGTGGAATCTTTTCCAAGAATTTATTATTATTATTGTACCTATTGTGCTTATTGTATCCACTAGACCGTCGTTTGCGCTGCGTAACGCAAAGGAATATTTCTTTTTCCATCGTTAATTGTTTTTTTGAAGATTGAAAAGACGTATATGAAATGAAAAAAATTGAAGTGCTCGGGATTTGACTGGGGTGGGTATCGGAACCCACGACCTTTCACTATCCGTGAAAAAACTTAAATTCGATAGAATCTAATTTGAATATGACATTAATAATTTGAATATTCAATAGGAATCAGAATTTATTACCAAAATCATGGGAATTTTGGGAAAACTACCACATTACGCAAGGCATCATCCTCTTCCTTCTAGCAAGAACGTTATAGGACAAACATACGAATTTATACTGGCATATGAGAACTTGTGGTTTTCTATTTCATATAATACATGGAGGGAAAATACCACTATGTGATTCAATTCGTGCAAAATTTGCATGTTTATAGGTAGGTAAAATCTGTATTTTTCAATAGAAAATGCTTCGATCGTGTCAATCTCAGGTGTTCAATAGGAAATATTCAATAGGAAAAGTCAATAGAATTAGATTTTTCTACAGAACTTGTTCTATTGATATATTTTCTACACGGAGAGAAATATTCAATAAAAATTACGTATCTTTTCCGTAATTCCGGAGCGAAATGTGGTTGTAGGAAATTTTACGGAACTTTCACGGAATTTTTTCGGAGGGTTCCGTAATTTTTGTCTGAATCTTCTGTGAAAAATTACGATACCATTACTTGAATTTCCGGAATCGATTCCGTAATGGGTGAGTGAATTGTGAGTTCCGTAATTTTTACTGAACATTTCTCTCCGTGTATAGAATTCCCTCAACTCAAATTTTCTAAATTTTTTTTTGCATCATCTTTTTTATCCTCCTTTTCTTTCCTTCTCATCACGAAAATCAAACAAAAAAAAATTACAAAATTTGAGCCGCGAAAATTTGTTAGAAAATATCTTAATAGAATAAGTTGTATAGAAAAATCG